AGTGAAACGTACGTTACATATCTAGTTTGTCTCATAACCAATAGTACCAGGTTGACCGAGCTTTGCCCGGAGTGCATATAATTTTTTAAGTTTTCAAGATTTGTATAGCTTTAAAAGGATATTTAAAAAAAAAATTAATTTCGATATCTATTAAGTAAATTTCTTACTCCAAATAAACATATCTTGAACGTATTTGTACTGTGTATACATAAAAAAAATGCTGATTGAAAGTATTAAAATAAAAATTTGTGTTAAATAGAAGCATGGCAACCCTGAAGGAAAATATTTTCTGACCAAAGTTCTCAACAATACCTTTCATTTGATATCCATATTTCGATGTTTTAGATAAATTGTATAGAATCGAAAATAAGTGGCAGCCTTAGACTATTATCCTAAGGGACATTATTTTGTATATAGGGAAAGCATTGTTTAAGAACCATCTCTTGGTACCCATGAATAGTAATATTTTACCTTTCTATAAAAAAAATTAAATAAATATGCGATTCAAAATAAGTGGCGACCCTATTAAAAATATGTATGTATATTCCGATCAGTTCTTCATTTATTTAACATGTGTACTAATAGGCTCGTCTGATCTGAGTTTCAAAAATATTTTTGAATTAGGGATCTTTAAAATACCTTCCATTTGATACCCATATTTAATTCATTTGTAACTAATCTCTAATAGGTGGCAACCTTATACGCGTCTTCTCGGAGATAGTGCCTATTCAGATAACCTTAGAATCCAAAATATTATCTGTGTATAAAATTTCATCAAAATCGTTAGATCCGTTTCCGAGAACGCTATGGATATATAGATATATATTTATACAAGATTTGCTCGTTTAATGTAATAAGATACATACATACACATATATGTACATCTGATTTTGCTTTACCCTGGATTCGACTAACAAAAATCGTGTTTCGCTTTGTACTTATCTATCGATAACAAAATCGATAGTAACATCCATCAAAATATCGATAACAAATTCGATAAAATATATCGATAGCAAATTCGATATCTATAGCAAAATCGATAAAAATCGTTACGGAAATCGATACAAATATCGAAAACAAAATCCATTAAAAATAACGATAAAATCGATAAAAACATCGATAGCAAATTCGATAAAAATGTCGATAACAAAATCGTTCAAAATATCGTAAACAAAATCGATAAAAATATCGATATCAAAATCGATAAAAGTATCGATCATTACATCGATAAGTCCCGAGAATCCCAAAAATCTCTAAAATCCCGAAATAGTTCCCAGATTGAGTCCCTGTGTCTCTATTTATATCCTTTTTTCTATAATTACCTTTATTTTAATCTTTCTTCCTCTATCTTCATCTTTATTTTTATCGGTATTCTCATCCTCATCTTTTTCTTTATATTTATCTTTGTTTTTACTTTTATGTCTATCATTTTCTTCATCTACATACATACATATTCCCCTTTACATTTGCCCTTATACATATAAGTGAAGTGTTTAAATTTACCTTGATCTTTGTTTTTGCCTTTATCTTTACGCATCTTGTTTTTATTTTTATTTTTACCTTTGCCTTTATCCTTCTCTATATCTATGTACGTACTCACCTTTACTTTCATTCTCGTATTGACTTTTTCTAGGTGTTATTCTTTATCCTTTTATTAGCAAGTTTTTGTTAAATTAATAGCATGTGCATACACTCAAGAAGCACTTGTTTCAACCCCACCCATTTCCGTGTGCAATTTCCGTTACACCATTTTCGTGTGCAACTTCCATTGCACCATTTCCGTGTGCAATTTCTGTTGAATTTGCCAATTTACTCCCAACCAACCAAAGAAAGAAGTTTCACTTCAAAAATAAAAGACCCATATAATTATTATGAGAAGACGAAAATAATTTACGCGAGACGAAAACAACTTTTCCATTGTTCGGTAATAATTATAAAGCAATATTTAATTTTATTTCTTATAATCGTTATGGTCTCTGATTCTTATGGTTCAGCTACCCTTACATATCAACATATCTAATCGCTGTTGATAAATAGAGGAACCTCTCTACGGGTAATGACAACAACACCGTCCTGCGGTGGTGAGTTTTAGTAAACACAAAAATCCCATAATATAGGTCGTGTCAGTTGACAAAGAGTCTGGATTTATGTCGGTGGTTAATTGAAATATTAAAATTATGAATTAGTTCAATTTTCGCGCAATTTTCAGTCCACTACTGATAGCCACCTTCGTTAAGGAATCCAAAGGAGGATATATACTAAGGTCCACTTGCAGAAGATCTAGAGTTAAATATATACATAAATACAGAGTTCAGTAGCTACGAGTTAAATTTTTAAATTCCTAAACCCGACAATGCCTTGCAGCATTGATAATCGGCTCAGAGTTAAACAACCTGAGGGATTTCTAAATTAAGTAGGCACCATTCTCCATTTTTTGGCGTTTGTTTTGATTGTTTATATTTATTATTTGAAATTAAATACTACAAATTTCTAATACAAACAGAAAAACTAAAGAATGGCAAATATTAAATAAAATTATATCTCGCAATGGGTGGATCAATACCCATGCCTGTCCAAGCACATCAGCTTTAAGAGGGCCTTATATTACTTGGTCTGAATATGTACTCATTTATGTATCAAATCCACGCCATGGTAGTTGGCCAGCGACACTTCTTCACTGCACACTTTTGGTGCATTTAAATCGCATATATTATTTAAGCGAGACTGACCGAAACCTCAGATTTGAAGGCGGAAAATGAATACGTGCATTTTTTAAATTTTTGTATTCTTGTTACTGACAGAATTGACATATGTAGAGTTAGCAAGTTAACCTTCGAAAATTGCTGGGCTAAATATTTAACGACTTAACTCTAATTTTACTCCTAACCATTGATTGTGCAAGCCAATTTATCGACTTCGAGTTATATAGATAACCTGCTGTTCTGCAAGTGACCTAATATTGCCGGAATGGATTGAACAAATTGGTGGAAATGACTGTCAGAAACAATATAAAAAAATGTTTTTGCATATGTCTTTTCTTGGAAGGATAAAGGATTAAAGCGCCATCTCTTCAATTCCAGTCTTTAAAAAACTGGTAAAAATAAAAAAATTAAATATGTAAATATGTACCTGTTTTTTCTTATAAACGATATTGAATTCACTATCGTGCAAGAACGCACGTTTATTTAATACTACGTGGTATTTCAAACTGTTACGTAAAGCAAAATTGATCAAACATTTGGTGGTTTTCGTGAAGCAACACAATCGCCAACACAAGATCGTCAGACGATTATCGTCATACAGTGACGAGCAAAACTGTAACATGGTGTAACACTTTTTATTTCAGCCACCGCTATCTTTCCAAGTTCTAACGACTTTCATACTTTCGTTGTATATTCTTATTGGTACACCCCTACTCCCTCTCTCACAAAGATTTGGAGTCAATCCAACATTAATAATAAAACCAGCAGGCAAAAATGTAAATTAAGGCAAATGTTATGCACTCACTCTCAGTTTTGCATTTTACAATTATCTTTTCATTAGTTGGAAGTCAGATCACTTTTTTCTGTATTGTAATTTATTCAACAAGCGGTTACCAGTAAATAATATGGTTAATCAGGAAACATAAATGTAAATAATATATTTACTGCGGAAACGCGGGACCGTAGGAAAAGTGACAAAAAATTGTGGAGTTCGCCACATGAAAATGTTAAGACTGAGAAAAAATATAGCCTAAAAAGTTATTAAGGACAAAGGAAGTCTGCTAAAAAATATTACGGTCCGATATCTTGTGAACTTAGTAGCAAGTAGCGCTGCAAATCAGTAGACAGCGAGGCAAAGGCTTAATAAAAGAAGAAAAAACCATTTTGATCAAAATAAATGTGCGAGAGTGGTAGCATTTTGCCGGATCGCACTAATACCGGACCGTTGCCTATTGGGATATGTTAGGCCTTACAGAATGCAATAAAAAAAACACATTTTTAAGATCTAATTGAAGGTTAGTTGGTCTGACAAGACTAAATTAATCGCTTTCAATCAGATGGTCCGGCATGGTATTGGATCAAAGACCCACATTAAGCCTCAGCGCATCATGTAAGGCAAACTGTGAATCACAGTGGTCGGTCAATAATACTTTAGGGTTGTATTTCAAAAATATTGTTAGTCCGTTAGTACGCA